ATAACTCAATTTAAAAAGGAGGGATAATAATTATTTGAGGTAGGAATGGATTATATATGTGGGTGCATTTAGAATTTGTATCGATTTGTAATATTAAACTTGAATAATTATTCGAATCTGAATTTTGTAATGTATTTGTGACTGCAATAGTTCGCTAATAACCAGCGAATGTTTATGGCGACTTGAAATAAGTTTAATTAATAAAACACGATTTCCGGACTTTCCAATGCCACAAGAAAAATAATAAAGTTTTTCAGCCAATGTTTTGCTCGTTCTTTTAAGGAAACGTTATGAAATGGTTTCTTACGATGAAACCTTTTTAGCTGTAATGAATCCATAGTGTTAATCGATGCCTAACCTGCAGGACCTATTATTTAATTAATGCGGTTATCAACTTCAAGCTAATACAGGGGGTGTCAATTGACAAGGTATCAATGGAGAAACATAACCATTATTACGGTTGCGGGGCCATATTTTCATTCACCACGTAACCACATACGTGACACCAATGTTGTTGATCTCATCCGTTGTCCGCTGCTTGATACGGGGGAATACAATCATCCGTCAAATAGATCACATTTAGGTCAAAATATTCGTGATATACTCAACCAAACCACAGTGAAACACATAGGATAATTTTGGAAACTTCTGAATTTTCTAGCGAAAAAATCGCTTTAAGCCTAAATTTAATTATTTTTACAATAAGGGGGCTTGTTGATCCCGGTAGACCGCGTGCGCACCGAGGTTCTCCCGCCTGCAAGGATCCAGGGACTTTCACGTTTTGTCCCTATGGAAACAACTTCGCCGGGCCACACATAAATGACCCTTGGGGCCCGCCAACTTGGTCAACCCTGTTCTACGCTAGAAGAGAATCGTTGGAAAATATTTCATTCAAAGGATCTGTGAAATTCTCCTGATTGCGGCATCAAACTAATTTTCTAATTTTAGGCATTTCCTTCATTTTTAATTGTTCTTTCCGCTCCCCGCTCTTTCCTCCTCTTTTCTCTCTCTCTCCTCTGTCTCTCTCTGTCTGTCTCTCTCTGTCTGTCCTCTTCCCGTGTTGTCTCTCTCTGCTCTCTCTGTCTCTCTCTCTCTGTCTGCATCTCTCTGTCTCTCTCCTTGTCTCTATCGTCTCTCTCTGTCTCTCTTCTCTGTTCTCTCTTCCTCTTCTCGCTCCTCTCCTCTCTCCATCTCTCCTCTCTCCCTCTCTCCTCTCTCTCTCCTCCTCTCTCCTCTCTCCCTCATCCTCTCTCCCCTCCTCCTCTCTCTTCTGAAATATTCTTTACTTTTTAAATTGTTTTAATTTACATACATTTGTCATTTATTTTGCATTCTTGTGCAAAGTGATGGTTTGTTTTCAGAGCCACAAGTATCGAATCATATTGAAAGTATCGGTAAGAAAATACTGGCATCTCCAATTTCTATTTAATATCTTCAACATGTCCCATTGCAATATCATGTTAACACAACTACCTTCTTTTCCTTGAACTGTAATCTCCTTTTCAACTAGCAATGATCAGGAAATTCTGTACCTCTCGTCCCGATCAGAAACTAATATTGCAAGTCTAGAATTACATGAAGTAGTATAATTCCGATGCAGCTGAGGGGTCTTTGGGGTTTCAATCGAATATTGGCATGCGTGTATGTCTATCTTAAATGCGTATTGCTGCTTGTGATGATAGAAAGCCTTATCATAGATCGTACATGTCATCGTGCACTACGGGATCAACCTTATCACTGGTACACGGCAAGGCGCGAACATCGTGCTCTAATGGGCATATCCTCAGAACATAACACGAACATATCCTCCAACAGCATCCAACACCCTTCTCCTCAGCATAATGCGTATCTCTTATCTTACTCTATTTTTGCAATGGATGGCACAGCAAGAGTGACATTGAGAAATACTTTTGGGCGAACTACAGGTATCGCACTGATAGGTATCAAATCATGCACAGTTCCAACCCCGCAAATTATGAAGCAATGCGCGTGTCAGAACGCCCGTATTTCAATACAACCAAAAAGACAACAGCCAAAATAAGCATGATTTTATTGCTCACTATGGTCCGCGGAATAGTACTCTAACGGAATACTCTGAAACGGAGGTGTCTCCCTTGTGGCGAAATATAACTTCTTTAAAAATAAAGATAATTGCACATTGTTTCAAATTTTTGGGGGAGTCTTACTACGGTAAGTACAAATACCACTAATAGTCCTCTAGAGATTATCAATTAATTGGCCTTTGGTTAGAAATATCTAACTTTTTATTACTGAACCTGTCGATGGGAGGTTGCCTTGCTGACGCTACCTGTTGAATCAGTGGGTAGGGGCCGGGTTGCATGAACAAACAAGCGAAATGGCAAGAAGAAATATTTTAATTAAAACTCAGATGATATTGGTTATCAAAAGCTAGAAAATGAATTGGCCCACAGTTACAAAGCATTTCTTTTACATGAGGTGCTTTTGGGCTCGGAGAGGTAGGCAGGATCATTGCAGCGCAAGTCTGATGTGGCAGGGGTGAATTGTAATTGAATTTAATTTTATGCCAGATTTTACGTGGCGAGACTTCAGTGCATGAGGCCTCCCTTTTCCGTCTGAACCACAGCGCAATTTCGCTCCGCTCCTTTCAGCCAGCTAGCCAGAAAAAGGAGGTATTTCTTGGGGAGAAACAGGTGATTTGAATTTAGTTCGGAGGCGTCATTTAGGTTTGAGATGCTTTAACGTGCAAGTAAAATCTAAGCTAACATGGGAACAGCCGGCCTTTACTTCCCTCCGAAGGCAAAAGGCGTAAGAAAAAAATTTTTTCGCCTTGAAAACCCGCCAACTTGGGTACAAACAGTCCGATACGCTAACCGTTACAAACATCGCGCGTGCCTATCGCCCTGCATGACGTTTATTTGTTTCTCCGACCTATGAAAATGGTCCCATCTTAGAGGTAACTCTTCGTACTACGTGTTCTAGGTAGTTGAATTGCGATTGATCAATACTCGCTCATCCCACGCTGTTGAGCCCTTTCGAGCGTCGGATTGTGTCGACTTCCTCATTCGGATCGACGTGCGTGTCCGAGGTTACAGGCGGGTCCCTTGGCCCGACGCGAAGCCAGGCCACCCGTTCACCGCTGGCAGCACTGGGATTCGAATTGAACCGAATTGGAATTGTTGCCTTATTTTACGTAGCGAGACTCAGGCCATTAGCCTGCTCTCTCGTCTGACCAAACGCAAAATTTCGCTATGCTCCTTTCACCAAACTAGCAAGATGAAAAAGACGGTATTTCTTGGCGAGAAAGGCGATTTGAATTTAGCTCAGAGGCGTCATTTAAGGAGCCTTTTACATGCAAGTAATATCTAGCGAACATGGACAAGCCGGCTTTACTTCCACTCCCGATAGGAAGGCGTACGAAGGACTTTTTTCGCCTTAAAAATCCACGC